ACTTCTGGTCAATCATTAGTCAACCATTGGTCAACTGCTGGTCAACTACTGGTCAATCATTACTCAACCACTGGCCAACTGTTGGCCAACTTGTTGATCAACTATTTGTCAACCACTGATCAACCGTTGATCAATCATTGGTCAACTGTTGGTCAACCACTGCCCACCAGGACACCCAGGCCACGCACGCACAGCGTCAATTCGAGCTGTTGGATGAAGGAAGGTTTCAGCATTTCCAGCCCAAGCCATTCCACAGTTCTACGACCTTTCGGGATGTTTCCAACCCAAACTCAAGCCATCCCACGGCTGATTTTTAGGGACCTCTCCAACTCAACCATTCCGTGGTTCTCTGATCTTTAAGGACCCTTCCAATCCAAGACACTCAGCACGAGCTACCTGAGCCAGGTGCCCTTAGTGCTCGGGGCACTGGGTTTTGCTGCTATTCCTCTTCCCCCAGCTGCACCCACCGCAGTGCCTTGTCCAGCCCTCCTTGAGCACTCTGACATCTCTTTGTGAAAAGGTTTGGAGAACACTTGAGCCTTTCCACCGGGACCGGGAAGCACTGGGGGCAGCAGAGCTGTCCCACTGCTCCAAAATCCAGCCCAAGCTCCTTCTGAACAAAGCCCTGTGTGTTCAGCCACTGTGGCCCCACATCCACCCAGCGACCACGGAGAGGTCAGGCTGCACAGGGTCACTCTTTAGTAGAGCCACAGGGCTTTAATGTTGGAGGAGACCTCTAGGATCACCTCTAGTCCAACCGTGTGTGTGGCGAAACACATCTCCTTTAGGATGCTCGAAAGCAAACAAACGGGGGGGCTGTGGGTACAGACTTTGGCCAGGTGAGCGCGTCCTCCTGGAGCTCTGCACAGTGGGTTCCAGGCTGAAAAGGAGGAGGCATCGCCTCCCTACCACGAAGGCCGGGGGGGAACATGGGGACAATGGTCCCAGCAGGTTTGCTGACATCACGGACAGCCAAGAGGGACAGATTTATCCCCATGGTGGGACAAATCATACGCGTCACCCAACCCAACGCCTCCATCTCTGCTCCAACCACCGGCACCCAAGAAACCCAGCGCCCTGCATGGATGCACGCACAGCACAGGAGGGAAAAAAAAAGCAGCAGGAAATCATTCCTCTCCAAAGCAAACAAGGATTCCCACAACAAAACACAGTGAGAAGCGTCCCGGTGAGAGGTGGCACAAATACCTGCAGTCTGCAATGACGTCGTCCATCAGCTGGGCTCCCAGGGACTGCAGCTCGCCCGGCGCGCCGCTGGCCTTGAGCACGAGGTGGATCTGCTCCAGGTTGGCTTCCTGCACGACAACAGGGCTAAGTGCCACGTCCCACCTCCCCGGCGCGGCCCCCCCAGTTCACAACCTCCCAGCTGGTTGGGCTCTGCAGGGTGGGCTCCGCTCGGAGCTCCCTGTAGCACGGCCAGAAATCCCACCCACCGCTCCAAAGGGGAAGGAAGCAATGCTTCCCCTGCTGGTTCCCCGCCTTGGGTGAAGCACCCCACTGTCACCACGCAGGATGACGGCGGTCCCCCCTTTTCCCACCCAGCTGTGTGACACCGTGCTGCCTGGAAGCCACAGAAGAAAGGAAGCGTCCCAGGTTTTGAGTCACACAGAAGAGGCATCGGCAGCCCCTGCTGTGGCTCCCACGCCTCAAACGTAACACCCGGCTCCCCATCAAGCCCCACATCAACCCCACTAGAGATAACTTCCATCCCCCAGCCCACCAGGCACAGAGGGATGCGCTGTGTCACCAGGGCACTCACCAGCCTGTCTGCCGCGTGCTGGAGGAGGTTCTGAGTGTCGGTTCGGTAGCTGATGTCTTCCCAGTAGGAGGACAGCACCACCACGGGCTTCACGTTGCCCCAGGGCAGGTAGTAATACTGGCAACCTGGAGGGCACAGCGTTGGGTGAGCTCAGGGCACGGGTGATGGCAGCGGGCACCGCGTGGTTGGGGCAGGAGCTCAGGGCCCGGCTCTTTTGGAGACCCTCGTGTGCAACGAGGTCCAAAAGTGCCCATGGATCCATCTGTGGAGCGGCCAGGCCAGGAAGCAGCGGCACGACCCCGGTGTGCTGAAGGCATCTGATCCCAGAGCCCCATGGGAGCCTGGGAAAGGCCACCCCAAAATACCAGCTCTCCCATGAGAACTAAGGGGCGTCGTTAGAGCCAAGGGGCTCCACAGGAACGCTTAATTCCTGGCTGCTTCCCTCCTTTCCAGTCACATCTTCCCACACGTGCGCGTGCCTTCACACGTTCAGGTTCCAAAGGTCTCCAGTTGGACTTGAAGACTTTCAGATGGGTTTTGAGGCACTCCAGTTGGGTTTTAAAGGCCCCCCTTTGGGTTCTGAAGGCCCCTACTTGGACTTTGAGGACCTCAAATTGAGATCTGAAGGTCTCCTGTTGGGTTTTGAAGGCCTCCCATTGGGTTTTGATGACCTCAGTTTTGTTTCAAGGGCTTCCAGTTGGGTTTAAAAACCTCCAACTGAAATCTGAAGACCTCTAGTTGGGTTCTGAAGGCCTCCTATTTGTTTTTTGATGACCCCAGTTTTGTTTTGAAGGCTTCCAGTTGGGCTTAAGGACCTCCAATTGAAATCTGAAGACCTCTAGTTGGGTCCTGAAAGCCTCCTACTTGTTTTTGAAGACCCCAGTTTTGTTTCGAAGGCTTCCAGTTGGGTTTAAGGACCTCCAATTGAAATTTGACCTCTACTTGGGTCCTGAAGGCCTCCTATTTGTTTTTTGATGACCCCAGTTTTGTTTCAAAGGCTTCCAGTTGGGTTCTAGGATCTCCAACTGAGATTTGAAAGTCTCCTACTGAGTTTCAAAGGCCTCCCATTGGGTTCTAATGGCCCCAGTTTTGTTTCCAGCTGGTTACGAAGTCCTCCAGTTGGGTTTTGAAGGCCTTCAAGGATGGAGACCCCACAGCCACCCCCCACCAACGCACAGACAGTCCCCTGGTGCTGCTCACCATCGAACACGGCCCGGCTGTACTGCGTGGTGGAGGCCAAGGGCAAGCAGGTGTTGTCAAACTTGTTGCCATAGTTGCCAATGCTGACCTCAAACTGGATGGCATCGTCCACGTCCTGCAGCATGGTGGCCGAGTAGAAGGCAGCAAAGAGGGAGTACTTTCTCCTCCGCAGGTGCTTCTGCAAGAGGCACAGGAACGGGGAGGAGATGCCACCACTGCCCTCCTATGATGGCCTGACACGTGGCAGCATGGCAAAGCCACTGGGACGGAAGAGATTAACGCAGGAAAGGAGAACGTGATGCGCGTCGACAGAATTGGGGGTGAGATGTTTAAGAACAATCTAACAGAGGAGAAGACTGGAGCGACCCGCGTGGGAAAGGCAGGTCAGTTCTAAAGAGCGTCAAGAGTGCATCTGCAACAGCACTCGAGGTCACAGGGCCGGGGAACCCAGGCTGGAAGGGACCTGCGAGGATCACCAAATCCAACTTGCTGCCGATGGGATGGCTGCTCTTTAAAAGCGAATCTCCTGCACATCCACCCGCACTACGGTTTGCTCAGACAGAGCAAGGTGGGCACCCGGGGATGAAAACGCAGTGGGAGACGGCCTCCAGGAGACCATCAGCTGCAAGACATCCCCCTTCCACGGCCAGCATCACAGCGCAGCAGCCCCGTTACCTCCACCCGCAGGACGTCATCCGCAGAGATGTCCTCCACCTTCAGCTCCCCGTGCTCCTCCAGCTTGGTCTCCAGCTCCAGCAGCACGCGGCCGCGGTACGCGACGCCCTCGCCCTTGGGGTAGAGCAGGACAGGGTCAGCAGCCATCGCCCCATCCTTCACCCCCACCTCTGCTCTCGTTGGCTTCGCGGCAGAGGTCAGAGCGGCGGCGCTATTTCAGTGCCGGGAGGAGTTTAGCCAGCGGGGACGGAGCGTGCGGCGTGGGCTCCTGCTAACAAAGCCAGGCAGGGTTAGCAGAAGCAGGAAGGAAGGAAGGAAGGTTAATCTATTTCGGGCCGTGCCGGGAAGAGGCTGATTCACCTTTCCTAAATTGAGCGCCTCGTACGGGTCGGGGAAGCCGGTGAATTCGCGGGGGCTGCCGTACAAGTTGATGTAGCACGGGCCGAAGGTCGGCAGGAAGCCCAGCCCGTCGTCCACTGCACGGCACAGGAAAGGGGACGTCAGGGACCCATGGCGGAGCGCCACGTCCCCGCAAACACCTATTGGCCAGGACAGGGAAGGTGCTGGCAACTGTGCGGAGCATCCCTGGGCCGGGAGCTGCGTGGATTTAGGGCTGCGCTGTGCCACGAGGCAGCGTGAGCCGTGAGCGCTGCTCACTTCTGGACACCTCAAGCAAACGAGCAGCGAAGAGCCAGGTCCACGTGCACTGAGCTCCCAGCACAACACCAGACCCCGAGCGCTCAGTGTGCAACGCATCGTCACCCCGAGACCTCCAGCACCGCCGCTGCCCAACGGGGGCACCCCAAAACCAAAACGGAGGGATGGCAGCGCAGCCCTTCCCCGGGCACCGCACACCCTAACGAAGTTACCCAAGTGCCCACAAACCAAGAGGCTCTAAGGGGACGTACAGTCTGAGGCTTTCAGAGGCTTCGCGAGAGCAGGAAACGCATCTGGAGCGTAAAGAGACAGAGAGAGGTCAGGAGGAGGAGCAGGGAAGGCTGTGGGACAGGAGGAGGCTATGGGAAAAGCAGATGCTGTTGCTGGGGGATTCGGTGCCAACAGAGAAGCAGGGAGGCTGCAACACGGCCACGCAGCCCTCCAAGGGGGTTGCAGAGCACACAAGGACTGAGACAGCATGCAAAACCTCCTGCGCAACGCAGCTCTGCAGCAACCTCTTCCTATGGCCACAGTAGGAATGAAAGACTGCAGGACCACGAGCCAGGAGGGACAGCCACCAAAAAATCAGAGCACAAGGCCAGGGGACGGGTGCAGTCACCGCCATGGGATGGATGGGGTCACCGTGCAGGATGGAGCGACCTCAGAGGACTTACAGAGCCACCGCCATGCAGAACAGATGTAGACACTACCATGGGATGGACAGAGCTACCATGCAGGGTGAATGGAGCCAGCAACCAGACAGAACAGATGGAGCCACCGTCACCGCAGGATGGACGGAACCGAGACCGCACAGAATAATCAGAGCCACCACCATGCAAGGTGGACACACGAATGGAGCCACCGCCACGAAATGGATCAACAGGGACAGCACCATGGGATGGATGGATCCACCATCAGGAGATGGATGGAGATCCCACCATGGGATGGATGGAGCCAGCACCATGGGATGGACAGAATCCCCACCATGGGATGGATGGAGCCAGCACCATGGGATGGACAGAATCCCCACCATGGGATGGACAGAATCCCCACCATGGGATAAATGGAGCCAGCAGCACGCCCCCACCCATGCCCCCCATTTCTGCCCCAGTGGTCAGAGCCCACCCTGCCCGTTCCCTCTTCCAAGCCAACGCTGAGCTCCAGCTGTGAGCGCCATGCTCCCCAGGGCCGTGCACAGAGGCCCCCAGCCCACCCCCCACTCACCCTCCAGCTCCCCGCCGGGCGCAGAGATCTTGGACATGCAGAGGTAGGCGGTGCCGACGACGTCGTTGTGCGTCAGACGGTCCCTGGAACGCAGCGCACGTCTCAGCGCAGCCCGGCTGCCCCCCGATCCATCAGCGCATCCCCCTCCACGGCTCCTCCTGTTTTATGGGGTCCCGCCCCATCCCCTCCCCGTGGCTCACCAGTCGGTCACCCGGATCTTCATCTTCTCACACATGGAAGGGAACTGGGGACAGAGAGGAGCAGTGAGCGGTGCGGCCGGGGGGCGGCGGGGCGGTGAGGGGTGGGCACGGCGCTCACCATCACCGGCAGCGTCAGGCACTGGTTCCACTGCGGGTTGGCATTCTTCTCCAGGATCCTCGAGAAGAGCTGGAGGGGTGGGAGCAGGGATGGGTCTCCCCTCGGTGCTGGGAAGCCCCACGCCCCAGTGGGGACACAACCGTGCCCCACTCACCGTCTTCCCCGCGAAGCCGACTTCCACGAAGGGGTCGACCAGGTTCTTCTTGTTGCTCTCAAAGCCAAAGATCTGCCGCACGTTGTCCATGACGGCGTCGTCCACTGCGGGGGGGGAGAGCTCTGCTGGGTGGGCTGTGACGTGCAGCACCCATGGGTGCTCCGTCCCGCATCGAGACCGAGCGCCACCTCCAGCAGCCGACAGCCCGCCATGGCGCGGAGCCGCCACTCACTCTGGGGCAAATCTTCAGCTTTGAAGATCTTCAGGCAGAACTGAGCCCCTCGCAAGGTGACCCCCGTGGGACGCAGGAGGTTCCCCTCGATGTCTTCCTTGTCTTCGGAGACCTCTTTCTTCTCCACCTGTGGGATGGCCCACGGCTCAACGCGTCGATCCGGATGGCAGCTGGAAGCCCCCCGGCACCGATACTCACAGGAGCTTCGTCCCCGGGTCCCAGCACGAGCAGGCTGACCTTCAGGTACCCTTTTGCCCCTGCTGTGAAGTCCTCCGGGTCGGAGAGCAGCAGCCACCGCCTGAGGATCGCATGTTCTGGGGGAGACAAGGGGTGGTGTGATGGGGCAGAGCTGAATTCCCTCTGCTGGCCTCCTGGCTGCTAAGCTCCCCGTGTTTGATTGTCACGCTTGGCAGGGATGGGGTGGGAAACGTTTAACAGGAGTCACTTTGTCCCTCCTTTACGGGCCTCATCCCAAAATGAATCCGTGTGGATACACCGCCCAGGAAGGGGCGGTGGGTAGGGGAACACCTCTGCCTTTCCTATGGGGGCGGACACAGAACTCACTGGGCTCCGAGTAGATGCTCTCAACGTCCATCTGTGAGACACAGAGAGAGAAAATCATCGAATCAGTGTGCCGTGAAGGTCAGAAATGATCCCTGAGATCTCCGAGTCCGACCACCGACCCATCACCGCCCACAGAAGCACCGAATCGTTCAGGCTGGAGAAGACCCCCCAAGGCCACTGAGTCCCAATGCCGACCCATCGCCTCCATGACTCCATCATGGCATCGTCTGGGTTGGAGAAGACCCGCAAGGTCATCCAGTCCAACCACATCACCCGTATGTCCACTCAATTATGGGATTATTCTGGTTGCAAAAGACCCCCAGGGTCATCGAGCTGAACCCCTCCTGTGCCCAGACACAGAATCGCTCAACGATGGAAACATAAAGGCTGGAGGAGCCCCTCAGGACCCCCAGATCCAACCCCAACCCATCCCAGCTCTCGGAATCAGAGTCACAAAGGCTGGAAAAGATCTCCAAGATTGTAGCCCAGCCACCAACCCATGACAGAGAGACGGGTCGGATCCCTACCCGAAACTCGCCGATCACCGCGTCCATCCGGAAAGAGCGCGAATCCAGGACCTGCGGGAGGAGCAGTGAGCCCAGGGGGGGGAGCAGAGCCACATCCCGGGGCTGGGGGTGGGGACACGGCGCGGGGGGCTCACCGTGATGAAGATGGGCACGTCGAACAGCTCGGCCGGCGACTCGAAGACGTTGAAGAAGAAGGTCTGAAGAAGAAGGGGCGATGGAGCGCGGCGCTCCCAGCCCGGGGCACCGGGGCGATGCTCAACGTCACGCTTTTATGGGGTGGCTTTTTTGGGGGGTTCTCAGCATTCCACATCAAAACATCACGTGGTGCATCGGGTATTACAGTGCCAATGGCCCCAATTCCCGGTACCCATCCCTGTACATCATGGAGCTCGTGGGATCTGGCCCTTCTGCTTGGGTTGGTCTCTTCCTGCCTGGCACTGGAGGCGCTTTCCCAGCCGTTCCAAGCTTTTCAGGTTTGACTCGGCCTCAGGATCTTTCTCTCTCCTATCTTATTTGATTTATCAGTCTCAATTCCAATTAGATTGTATTATATTGCATTAGTAAAAGCAATTCTCCTCCACAGATCGCTGCTGCTGTTTCTTTTTACTCTCCCTTCCTTCCTTCCCATTTTTGTGGGGCTGAGGTGGGGAGAGGGGGGGAGGGCAGGGGCCTATTGCCCCCCTGTGACGGGCACGGATCGATCCAGCCAACTCTGTGATGCTTTTTGGTGGAGAATGCAGGCAAAGAAGGGGGAAACCTATTTGGGCTGCTGAGCTGGGGCAACAATTGCTGCCCGAATGAAGAACACGGCTGTAGAGGTGCGCCATGCTCATGCGCCCAAGGGTCAGGCTACCGAAGAACAGCAAAATAAGCACCGGGTGGAACCGAGCTGCCAGAATTGAGGTGGCTCAAATAGAGCCGGACTGGTTGGGTGCGTTTGGGTTCGCACCCCATCCTGCATTTCCCCCCCCTCACCTCGTCGAAGCGGGGGCTGTTGCCTTTGCGGATCCTGGTCCTCTTGCTCTGCCCCGCCGCCGTCACCTTCACCACGGGGCGGATGTGAACGCCGGGCAGCTGCCGGGCCTCGATCACCCGAACCCGGATCTGGGGGGGGAGGAACGAGGAGGGGGTCGGCCCGGCCTCAAGGGGACACCTTGGGGTCAGCTCGCAGCTGACGACACCCAGGCTGAGTTCCGAGCGACCAGGGGTCTCACCTGGAAGTCCTGCGGTTTGTTGGACAGGGGTTTTTTGGGCAAACTCCTCCTGCGCTTCACCCCACGGCCGCGGGGAGCCGGGGGTCTGCGGGGCAGCGAGGGCGGCTCCGAACCCGGCAGCCCCGAGGACGGGGGCTCCAACTCGTCCCCCGTGGCCGCCTGGTCGTCCCCCTCCTCCTCGGTGGCCGCTTCTGCGCGAGGCGGGAGGCAGGGAGGTTGCTGCGGGTCCCCGGGCGCTGTGGGGTGGGCGATGGGGGACGCGTCCCCCCGTGCAGCCCCCGCATTACCGGTGAGCGTGTCGGGCTCTGCCACCGCCGCCGGGGCCGCCTCGGGGGGGGCTGGGGGAGGGAAGAGGGGGGCGGCGCCCGGAGGAGGGGTGTAGGAGACTTGCAGGATGAGGGAAGCCTGGGCGAAAGGGGAGAGTCGTCACACATCCCCGTCCCACGACCCCAATGGGTCCCCATTTCATCACCATGCCCCCATCCCACTGGGTCCCCATCCCACTGGGTCCACATCCCACTGGGTCCACATCCCACTGGGTCCACATCCCACTGGATCCCCATCCCACTGGGTCCCCATCCCACTGGGTCCCCACCCCACTGTGTCCCCCTTCCATTGCCACATCCCCATCCTACTGCCTCCATCCCTGTGCCACGTCCCCATCCCACTGTGGCCCCATTTCATTGCCACGTCTCCATCCTATAGTCTCC